GAAAGAAAAAAAATAAATCGTCCAGCTGTAAGACTTCCTCGGTGCATAGCTCCCATGCTACGCGAAGGAAGCACAAGGGCCGAATTACTGCAAGGTTGCCCGAACCCTGACAGGATTAGTCGACAGCCTGAGGTTGGCTTCGAACCGCGGACCCTCCGGTCATTAAGTTCACGCCTTAACTGTTGAGCTATTTCAAGTTCCTTCTCAGCCTCAGAAGTGTCTGGGTGTATCCTTAATCCTGGTCCTGCCGACGCTCCACCTGCTCCGTGGTGAAGTTCTCAGCCAATGTCTATCTAGCCTATCCGCGTCTATCTGTGAGAAGGAAACCACGTCGGGCAGCTGAGCTGAGTTAATGATGTCGCGGAATTTGTGGAGTTGCTCTGTAGGATTTGCTTGGATTTGAGCAATGGATGATTGGAGTCAATGAATATCCAGGAAAGTTCAAGAAGACGCGTTCAGGAGAAGATGGGTGTCCAGTCTTTGTGAATAGGACGCAAATGAGAGTTTTGCTTCCCTGTGCAATAGTCTGTAACCGGTCAGTTGGCATTTTCTAATAAATAACTCCGCAGCCAAGGCGTTCTTCCTTTCAATAATAGTGCCCATACTCTAAAGGGTACTCGCAGGGAATGTAGTACCAGGGGTGTCCGTTTGTCTCCCGCAAAAACAAGACGTCTGGCTTCACTGATTATTCGTCATCCTGGGAAGGCACGCGAATCCTTGACTCATGGCCATCAAATCGGATTTATGTCAGGTAGAGGCTGCGTTGACCACATCTCCACACTCCGTCAGATGTTAAAACAACGCTGTGTACGGGCGACCCACAAGCTTGGCGTCCCTAGACTTCAAGGATATGTTCGATTCTGTCGATTGGTCAGTAGCCCTAAGAACACTGCTCAACAAAGTGTTTTTTGGTAGTGGTGAGGTTATCCAAGCACTAAATTACTCCATGTTAGGACCATCGTGTTGGGCTTTTGTACCTGCCCCCGTGATCTCTTCCCTTCGCTACTAAGTACCAAATAAGTAGCTTGTAACTATGGTCAAAACCGATTTTGGGCAGCCCAGTGGTTTACTGCACTGTGGTTGGTTGTCGGTTTTTACCAAGCCATCATTTTTGTGGGTCAAGTTACCGGTTTTGCTTGAATTATCCAACGTCTTTCAATGGCCACACTGGTGATCCAAGCCCTAAATTCTATCAGTCCTGGATAACTCCGAAACGTCCATTTCGGCCAACTCAGCCATTACAGTCCATCAGTAATGACCATATATATAATCGGTAAATCTAGCTAACCCGATAGCATTTAATATGGGCATACTTAAACATTTTCTGACGGCTTGTGCTACATCGCTAACTTCGATAAATTTAAGAAAAGATGAATTTTGTTTGCCACTATCTCCCAGTGGATTGCGATCTTTGTGCTTCGCTGTGTCCCGTTGTCCTACGGGTCAACTTCGTAAACCCGGGCTCCAAGGTGAACTTAAAAACTATCTACTTTGGTCGCATATTGGCGTCAGACATTTCGTGAACCTTTGATGTCTGTTATCCGCGTGTGCCCTTAAATGCCGTCCCTCATTTTCTGCATGCCAATTCAGCTATCAGCAAATAGCCTTCAAGAAATCGTTCACCTGTAGCACCCTTTCGGTGCCTAACTGCCGTCGAGAGGTAGAGGTCGGGTTGGAAACACGGACCTTCCGGTCAGTAAATCCGCGCTCTAATCGCTGAGCCATCTCGCCCCTCCTCCTAAATAACATCAGAAATTCAGTTATTTCTGTTCTGTACAGTAGCGACTCCCCGCCCTTTGTCTTGACACAATCACTGAACGTTTTTCACAAACCTCGAAGAGTGGATATAACTTCCACATAGTTCCACATCTGCACCGCCATTGAGTGTACATGTTTCACAATTCGCACACCAATGCCCATCAGTTCGTGGGGTAGTTAGGGTATATTGTTCGAGGTACGTAAATTCCAGATATGTTGCACTTCTGAGGCACGCCTGCAAGATTAAATCGTTGTGTACTATCTGTCGAGAACTTATCTATGTGGCTTTCAGGGGAATTTACCACCTCTGCGTTGATGAAAGCATCGGTTCAAATGACGGGCTTGATGTCATTTTGCCTGGCTGGACGTCACTCTCGGTATAATAACCAGCTGCATACACACCCAGTGATGATGGCTCGAATGAGATGGAAGACACTTTCACTTACGTCAACCTTAAGCGTGATTCTATACTTAACCAGCCGAAAAACATACACGCATCATGTCAAATTACTTGAACCAAATGGAAATGAAAACTATGGCGGAAACGCTAACCTAAGGCTGACATAATACAAACATCCGAGGTGTCTAAGCCACCAACTATTAGTCGACCTCGAAACTGATGGTATGAACACCACTGACATCGGTTAACCACCAGTATCCACAGCCAAACACAAGGAGTGCCGCGAGGACCCCATCCTGGAAGGTGAGCAGCATCAAAAAAGCCCAAACTCCCCGTACTAACGTAAGGCACCAATCACAAGTTTACTGAAAATTCTTCGACAGCCCACGACCGGTTTCGCCATTCTTGGGGCTCATCAGGTAGGCATAAAACCTGAGTTTCCGTCACGAAATTAACGAAATACACTCATTTGCAAACAAACTTGGCTTTGCGAGAGACTCACCTGGAACCCAGGTGAATGGGCCATCTCAGCCCCACGTATCGCGATATCTCGAATATCGTGCCAACTGGAACATCGGGCGGCCTGGTGCAGCACATTCAGTTGTTTGGAAACAGCATAAACGAGATTCAGCTTGGTTGCAGATGGATCTCTCTTCAACTTCAACTCGCATGAATAACATATGGCTCAGCCAAGTAAGCTTGCAGTGCCGGATGCATTATTTGAGTGAAGTGACGTGAGTTTTACCAAGCGCCTGCTTCCTGATTGCCTCGTTGCGTATTAGCTGATGCAGGCCGATTTCAATGATGTTTCTGGTGTACCGGTGTTCAGGCCTCTCCGGCTGCCTCAACAATACAGCCTGTAATGAAATCTGATGCACACGTCCCTTGAAACCCAGTGATACGCCTTTCCAAAGCCACAAATGTCTTAAATTGGCAAACGCAATCCTGTCATTTGGAATTTGTGCGTCGATTTAGTCTGTCGCATTACCATCAGAGCAAGTGCAACTTTTGGAATAGGTGTGGCGTTCCAGACTTTCCATTGTCAGTCGAATTCTTAGGGATATTTTGAACTGTACATCTTCCAGTATTGCGCTTTTGGGGGCGCAAAGCACATACTGAAGGACTGAATGATCTTGGTAAGCTTTTCTATTAATGTTTGAGCCACCTGCTCTTTTTAAAAGATGAGGACAATGTTGCGTGCATATTTCCGGTGGTTAAAGCTGTCTCGAAGCCATCTGAACGGGGGTTATGAAACCAGCGGTCACCTCATCATTCCATTAATGAAGAAATTAGGCAAAAATGGAGTGTACACCCTTTGCAGACACCACTGTTTGTATAAAAACTTTTGGATAGCTTTTCCAGACACCCACGCACTCACAAGTATGTGGATACAAATAGCGCATGATATTCACGAATATATGGGGCATAGGCTGTTGCGCAAGCGTGCTGAAAACAACTGACAAGTTCGCGGAATCGAATTTTTGAAGTCAAGGAACACCAAGGTTGTGGGGCGCCTTTACGCATTCTGTCGCCCCAACACCGCCACCTTGTGGTGGTTGGCCTTCTAGCTAAAGCCTTTGGACTAGGGCTAATTGTCCTCCTGTTTAGATTTGGATACCTCGGCAGCATCCTAGCCAACAATAATAAGTTACACACCTACAAAGGTTCTCATGATAATCAGTGGTCGCGTGGCGCCCACAGCCAGTTTTCTTTACTTGTTGTATACGGTAAAGCAAGTAGGCGAAAACAGGCTACTGTTGACGGCTCTCTCCTTTCTCTTTAATATATCCGAGATCGAGTGAAACGTTTTTATTACTCCATTATACTCCCCGAGCTTGACTTACTGCCTGCAGGAAGCAACGAAGCATGTTGTGTTATCGATGATGGCTGTGATAATGGCGGGCTGCAGATACCCCCCCTCCCACCAAAAAATTATATTTGTGGGTTTCCGTCAACAACAATCAGAAAGATAATGGGTCAGTGGCCAGTTAAGGGCCATAAAAACACTAATGACCGCGACAAAACATAACCAAAGGCAATAAACAAGCCTGTCTCTCATCTATCGGATTTCACGCACCATAAAATGAGCAGTATAAGTGTCCGAAGAAGGCACCGTGAAAGGCTTTGTAATTCGTTACGGAGAGGGGTCACACTTGACAAAGTATCAAATGAGCTAGGTATCCGAGATTGACTTTTTATTCCAATTTGGATGATTGCCGGTGTTGTCTCCTGTAAACGTAGCAGTTAAGCCTAAATTGCAGTGAATCATGTATTTGGAGTCTAGTGTCAATGATGGCGTGGGATAGAATAGACCTACAAACATAAGCGTCCAAACCCTCAGTTTTGGTTATCTATCTTACTCAGAAAAAGTACCAGCGTCCACCCTGGTGTTGTTTCATGCATGCCATCAGGTGACTGGTGATCGTCCATCGCCTTTGGGAGCTTTAAATCATAAAAACAATAAAGCAATCAGAAACCAGTTGATTCTACACTGGCGCATTCCATGAGATAGAAGCTTCATGATCTGGACAGCATGTTTCTGGGAGATAACAACGCGGGAAACCTTGAACATAACTCATATTTGCTCTGTGAACAGCCGTGAAAATCGCGACAACTCTTTAAAAAAACCGAGTGCCTACATAAAGCGAATTCGACACTCCATGTGAAGAACTAAATGTTTTGAGGCAGTGGATTACGCAAGACAAACCCGATGAGCAACCAACACCAGCCGTCCTAAAAGCGGGATCATTTATGGATAAGTAATGTGGACGCGTAGCAAACCATAGGATGAGTTGCCACCGGACTCAGGTAACGAAGACATGGAAACTACCACTAGTCTCACCTTTAATATGTCCAGGCATATGACGCCTTGACTGTTAATGTTGCAGTGATATATCCGAGTTTTGAAGGTTACCTGAAAATGTGGATGGATGTACTTCTATTGACACCACATACTTTGGGGGGTTTGAACGGGTACTCTGGTGAGAAATGTATGTCGAGAAAGAATATCCCTCCTTCGTACACAGAACCCGGGGGTCCGAGCAAAGTAGACACCCATTCAAATAGATTATCACCACGAGGAACAGCGCTAAAGTAGAGCGGAACTACCTAGAAGAAGATACCTGCAGTTCGGTGGTGGATCGGACATTATATCAGCCAACTCTTTCTGAATCCTACGAGAGAAACTTTAACACCTAGCATAACTTTACCTTTTCAGACTAGTCGATAGTGATCTGGACTTAAAGTGCACATTAGTTTGGAGACGGTGTTGAGCTGAGTTGGTAATGCAGGGGGATACAACCGGAGATTCAAGGGAGAGTTCATCTGGAAAGGAAGGGTTGTGGTTGTCTATGAAAGTTCCTTCACGAGCACGCTTTCGTGAAGTCCTTCGAGGATCTGCACTAGACATCTATGGACGGAACAACACCCTCCGGGGGTTCAGTAAGCGACTAGGTAGTCTGTGCGGCCAGACAAGTGGAAATTCAAATAACCGCCTTTTAGGCGGGCAGATTTGCCGCGCCCTCGAGGCACAATGCATTTTTCTGCAAAACCCCTGAGGGTGAAATAAAAACCTTAACTGCAAAATGTTCCACTCCTTTGCGTATGTGCTCGGTCCAAAAATCACCCTCATCTGCTGGCACTTTTTTGCAATCTGTTTTAATCGATCTCTTTGAAAATTACTGGCGAAACTTCGGGTTTGAACTTAGTGTGCTATGGCTTCGGAAGTGGCTTTACACAATTTCGTTGACAAATTTGTGGGTGTAACGTTTTCATCCTTCACGGCATTTGAGGAGGCCTTAAGTCAATACATGATGGATAAAATTGTGGCATTTGTGCGATCCTCCAGTAGCCGAAACACCAACACCGTTTTGCGTTACCAATGGGTGAATGGTGATCCTTCTGAGTAACGGCGACAACTGTTCTTGGCCCCAACGTAAGTCGCCTTTTTCACGTTATAGATAACCTGACCCACAAGCGTTTCTTAGTCGATACTGGTGCTCAAGTCAGCAACTTACCATCTAAGGAACGCCATTCACCCACGGCTCTTACACTTCGTGCGGCGAGCGGGGCTCGAATCCTCACTTATGGCCATCGTCATTGACGCAGGTTTCGTTGGGTATTTTTAATAACCGATGTACAAACTGCTATCCTAGGGGCTGATTTTCTCACACACTTTGGGCTTGCAGTAGACGTGAACGGTCGCAGACTGGTGGACCGAGCAACCAATTTGAGCATCGCTGGAATCCAGTGCTGTTCAACGCCTCCTGCAATCAAGGTCCTCACCCCCGATTTAGCTGGCCCATATGCTGTCCTGATCGAGGAATACAAAGACTTATTCCAACCTTCAGCTTTTCCAACGCAGCTGCATCACGTAGTCACCAACGGAAACCCTGTGTCATCACGTCCTCGTCGTTTAGCACCAGATAAGCTGGCTACAGCCAAACGGGAGTTTGAGCACATGCTCAAGTTGGGCATTATACGTCCATCTAGTTCTTCTTGGGCATCACCACTTCACACGGTAGAGAAGAAAACCAGTGGCGATTGGCAACCTTGTGGAGACTATGGGGCGCTTAACAAGGCCACCGTTCCAGACAAGTACCCTGTAGCCCACATACATGATTTCCCTTCGACCCTGGACGGGAAGACTGTTTTCTCGAAACTTGACCTTGTCCGTGCTTATAAGCAGATACCAGTAGCCACTGACGATAAACCGAAAACGGCAATTACCACTCCTTTTGGCTTATTTGAATTCCTCCGAATGCTTTTTGGTTTACGCAATGCTGCCCAGACCTTCCAAAGTTTCATTGACCAAGTCTTACGTGGGTTAAATTTCGCTTACGCCTGCCTAGATGATGTTCTCATTGCCAGCAGTTCACACACTGAACATATGCACCATTTGAAAGCCGTCTTTGAACGTTTTCGACAACATGGTATCATTCTCCAAGTTGGGAAATGTGAATTCGGTGTACCTTCCCTCGAAGTGCTTGGCCACATCATTGACCATAAAGGCATCAGACCACAACCCTCAAACGTATACGCGTTGGCTGACTACCCTGCTCCAACTTTCGTAAGACAACTGCGTCGGTTTCTGGGTTTAGTCAATTACTACCGTTGATTCATCACCGAGTGCGCTCAACTTGCTCAACTTTTCACTGATTTGCTTCGAAAAGGTACTCGCAAGTTAGTTCTTAACGAACAAGCTTTCCTAGCATTCGACCGACTGAAATCTGCTTGACTCCACGCGACGTTCTTGCATTATATTCCATCCGATCCACGCACCAGGTTGTACCTCGCCACAGATGCCTCGCAAGAAGCACCAGGTGCAGTCTTTCAGACACTGAAAGACGCAGAATTTCAACCCCTCTCATTCTTTTCAAAACGTCTTCACCCCGCACGAACCCGTTACAAAACGTCTGGGTGAGAATTATTAGCTATATATCTGGCAATACGCCATTTTGGACATCTTTTAGAGGGTCCATATTTCTCAGTTTTGACGGACCATAAACCATTGATCTTCGCTCTCCGAAGTACGCCCGACCGATATTCTCCCCGAGAACGCCGGCAGCTGGCATATATATCTCAATTTACGACTGACATCCGTTATATTGAAGGTAAATCAAATGTAGTTGCTGATGCTCTTTCACGTATGCGGATTGATTCTTTAGGCTTTGCGGAGATTCCCCTATCTGAGCTGGCTGTACATCAAAAGTGTGATACAGAACTTGTGCAGTCTTCTTTTCCGTCGCTAAAGTTACAACAACTTCCTATATCCAATTCAACCGAAATTGTCACGTGCGACGTTTCCACAGGTTCTCCCAGACCACTTATGCCTGCCTCACTCCGTTGGTTGATTTTCAATCAGTTACATAAATTATCGCATCCAGGTATCCGAGCTACTCGGAAGCCTAGCAGCGATAAGTTCGTGTGGCCTAATATGAATAAGGGCATCACCATATGGGCTCGTGAATGTATTGAGTGTCAAAAGAGCAAATTCCATCGACATACTGTTACTCCTCTGGGTCATTTTTCCAGTCCTGATAGTCAGTTCAGCCATGTTCACATAGACCTTGTTGGTCCGTGGCCTCCATCACACAATTTTTCGTATGTTTACACATGAATTGATCGTTTTACACGCCGGCCTATAGCCAGGCCGATCAAAGACACACTCCGAAACGGTGGCTCAAGCTTTTCTCGAGTCCCGGATTCAGACCACAACCCTCAAAAGTAAACACGTTGGCTGACTACTCTGCCCCAAATTCCGTAGGATAACTGCGTCGTTTTCTGGGTTTAGTCAATTACTACCGTCGATTCATCCCCGAGTGCGCTCAACTTGCTCAACCTCTCACTGATTTACTTCGAAAGGGCACTCGCAAGTTAGTTCTTAACGAACAAGCTCTCCTAGCATTCGACCGACTGAAATCCTGCTTGACTCACTCGACGCTCTTGCATTACATTCCATTCGATCCACACACCAAGTTGTACCTCGCCGCAGATGCCTCGCAAGAAGCAGTCGGTGCAGTCCTTCAGTCCTTCATTCTTTCCAAAACGTCTGCAGTTCGCACAAACCCGTTATAGCAAGTTTGGGCGAGAATTATTAGCTATATATCTGGCAATACGCCATTTTCGACATCTTTTAGAGGGTCGATATTTCTCAGTTTTGATTCTCAGTTTTGACGGACCATAAACCATTGATCTTCGCTCTCCAAAGTACGTCCGATTGATATTCTCCCCGAGAAAGCCGGCAGCTGCCATATATATCTCAATTTACGACTAACATCCGTTATATTGAAGGAAAAGCAAATGTAGTTGCTGATGCACTTTCACGTATGCAGATTGATTCTTTAGGCTTTACGGAGTTTCCCTCGTCTGAACTGGCTGTACATCAAAAGAGGGATACCGAACTTGTGCGGTCGTCTTTTCCGTCGCGAAAGTTACAACAACTTCCTATACCCAATTCAACCGAAAGTGTCACGTGAGACGTCTCCACAGGTTCTCCCAGACCATTTATACCTGCTTCGCTCCGTTGGGTGATTTTCAATCAGTTACATAATTTGTCGCATCCAGGTATCCGAGCTACTCGGAAGCTTATCAGCGATAGGGTCGTGTAGCCTAACACGAATCGGGACATCACTAGGTGGGCTCGTGAATGTATTGCGTGTCAAAAGAGCAAAGTCCGTCAACATACTGTTACCACTCTCGGTCATTTTTTCAGTCCTGATAGTCGGTTCAACCATGTTCACATAGACCTTGTTGGCCCGTGGCCTCCGTCACGTACGTTTTCACATGCATCGTTTTACACGCTGGCCTATCGCCGTGCCGATCAAAGACACACTCCGAAACCGCGGCTCACGCTTTTCTCGAGCCATTGATTGCCCATCACGGAGTACCAACAACAATCACTACGGACCACGGCCCACAGTTCTAGTCCTCTCTCTTTTGAGACCTTAGCCATCTCCTTGGCTCGACGCACATCCACACTACCGCTTACCACCCGTGTGCCAAATGTTTAGTCGAGCGTTTCCATCGGCAGCTGAAGGCAGCATTGATTGCTCACGGCAATCCTCAAAATTGGACAGAGAATCTCCCGCTCGTACTTTTGGGAATCCGATCTGCAGTGAAAGAAGATTTAGGCTGTCCGACCGCCGAAATGGTTTACGGCAGGCCTCTCCGACTCCCTGGTGAGTTTGTTGCTGAGCAAAACGAAGTAGTGAGAATGCACTCAACAATGTATCTTAATCGTTTACGCTCCTTTGTGAGACATCTTAGAGCTCAACCAACGCGTTTACATACTCGTGCATCACAAATCTCCCCAGTGCTACAATATTGTGACTTCGTTTTCGTTAGGGTTGGTCAAGTGAAAAAACCGTTACAGCGACCATACGTCGGCCCATACCGCGTTATTTCGCGCCGACCTAAATATTTCGTCATCGACAAAGGAGGTGTTCAAGATACCGTCAGCGCCGATCGACCAAAGGTAGCGCACATTGATCCCACCGTATACTCTCCTATCAACTAATCACAACGCTTATCTGCGCCTCCGCTTAACACAAACGACATGGCAACTCAAAAGCCGGATAACTTACAGCCAGTTGTTCATACTCGTTCTGGTAGAAAAGTGACTTGGCTAACGAAGCTGCACAGTTACTTATCTTAGTAGCGTTCCTTATCGAGCCTTTATTCTGTTTATACAACGCTGTAGGGGGGAAGTTCTGACCATTGTACATTAGTACTTTCTTTGTAACTTTTCATTACTCAAATTGTACCACTTTCTATCTCCCACTAAAATCTCCACTAAAATCTCTTCATACCGAATAACTTTTGTTTAAATGAACGAAAAAGAAATAGGACACAGTACAAATTCTGTACCTCGTGAAAGGCGTGTTCCCTTCCTGCTGTGTCGAATTACGC